TTCTAACCTTAACCTGCACACTAACTCTAACTCCTGCCCTTAACTCACATTCTAACCTTAACCTGCACACTAACTCTAACTCCTGCCCTTAACTCTAACTCAAGAGTCCAACCCCGACCCTGCCCGCACCCACACGCACCCACTCACCTCGAACGTGTGTTCAAACTTCTTGAACTCGACCATGCGGTTGTGGAATCCCTCGCCGAGAGCTGCTTGCTGCGGCGGCAACCCCTGACGCTGCTTCATGCGCGAGAACAACACCTCCTTCGCCGAGACGAAGAACACTCGCTCCAGCGCCATCTGGAGGGTGTTCACACGAAGCTCGTCGACGAGGAAGGAGATGCAGCGATCCATGTGCTGTTCGCGAACCTGCGAGAAATGTTCACTGTCAGTGTCGTTCGTTCTACTCTTACAATGAAGATAACACAGGGACTCTGATTTGAACACATGGTATTCGACGGACTAGTCCAAAGTTCCAGTGGAAAGAACGACGAGTAGGAGGAGGAGAGAAATAAGGTAGAGGAGGGGGAATAGGAGGAGAGAGGGAGGAGGATGAGGAAGAGGAGGAGGAATAGGAAGAGGAGCAGGCAGAAAAAAAGTAGAAGAAAAAAAAGAGGAGGATGAGGAGGAGGGGTAGAATCCCTACCTTCTCCATCATTTCGGGTTCGGAGGCTGACGCGTCCCATCTGTTGTTGAGTATGAAGATGTTTGGCTTAGAGAGACGCTCGCTGACCTTGTGAAAGAAATTCTTCTCCTACAGGAAACATAGAGCAGATATGAGTTACATTTAATAACGGGAGACGACACATGCCTCCACATAACCTATGCTAGTAGAATCCTTTTCCATTATTCGTGAAACTCATTAAGACAACCCCAGGGCATGAAATTAGACAAATTGAACAGGCCCTTACAAGTTTGAACAGGCCCTTAATTTTGTTCAATTTATTCCATTAATAATAAAAGCATTAGCTTTGTGTATATTAGGCATACTCATAGTATTTCAGTATTTCATTGCTACCAGTGGAGTTCTACTTGTTTGACAGGAATTGCTGGAACATGGTTTACTTTTTAGTAGTCACTAAGCAAAAACTAGTAGGAAATTGGTAAATATTGTTGATATAAAGGCAAGATAGGCAACAATTTGAATAGGCCAATATGGACTGAATATATGGGGGGTTGAAATGGGCGGCCCATGGCAAAATAGCGCTAATTTCACGCACTGCAACCTGATGCGCTATGAACTAACAGTGAATGTTGCATGCAGGAGCCATCGATGTGTCATGCTGACACGTTACCTAACTAGTGACACATCGTTAAGTCTCGCCACAAAACAACGTTTTGATGTCAATGCCTCACAAGCAAAACAGACGTCATGCACAATTTCAATGATTGCCTTCAATGACCAAACACAACACTAGTCTGTGTTCAGGACAATAACCATATTTTCCAACACTTTCCAGAACTGTAAAACAGAATTTTAATAATCCCGGGGCTTTTTGTCAGAAGCAAAATTAGTCGTAACATTAACATATTCTCGTAGACCTGACCTCTGTACACTGCATATGAGAAACTCATAACTTGACTACGTTTTTGTCACCGGTCTATAAGAAATTACCGTCTACCTGTTGTACACCACCTTACCCCCGCGTGTACGACTGCCTTACCGTCTGCATGAGTGTAGACTCGGCGTTGGCCACCCCCCCACCCCCGCGTGTACGACTGCCTTACCGTCTGCATGAGGGTAGACTCGGCGTTGGCCACCAGCACGAACACGTCGGCATAACGACACAGCAGTTAGTTAGTTCCAGCCAGAGGTTGGTTCATAAAGAGGAATAATATACAACTCGTTTCAAGTTCAAACGATATTTCTCCTGATCTTAGACGCGATATCGTAGCAAACGAAGAAGCTCACCTTCTTGTAGACACACAGCATCATTCTGTCGGGATGGAACGGCCGGTCAAACTCATCAACAATGATCGACAGACGACGAATCTCCTCATTCAATGCTTGCGCCACCTGTTGGGCAATAACACAACCATCCGATTATCACAAAAACTTTTCATTTGCATAAAAAATTGCATTTTCGCGCCACATTTGAGAATAACGTGTTCGAAATAACGAAATAGCGTTTCACACAAACATTGTTTCCTCATCGTTTTGTCTCGTCGCGGGAGCGGGTTGCCGTGACGACGCTCACCTTCCTCTCGACCTCCTGCACCATCTGGCGTATGCGTTCCTTGATCTCAGCCTCCAGCAGGGCCAGCTGTTTGACAACGTAGTCGAGCCGGTCAACCTCCTCCTTCCTGCGCTGATCTCTCTCAGCCCTGTACGCGCAAACAACAACAACAACGATTCATCGATCGTTCCCCGCGCACGTAAAGAGCTGAGGTGTTGCGGGTCATTACAGGTGTTAAAATTGACCCGAAACTAGTACAAACCCACTGTAAGGAGTTTTGCTTCCTTTTCCTACCTCCTTACTGTAAGTTAGGGAGAGGTAACCAGTTTAAACTTTCCTGCCTGGTTACTGTAAGTTAGGGAGAAGGAACCAGTCTAACTTGCTTGGCTCCTTTACTGTAAGTTAAGCAGAAGGAATGAGTCTCTACCTGAGTTTCATAGCCTTGATTAGCACCTGGTCCAGGACTGCCCGCAGCTCAGCTGATATCACCTTCGCTCTCTCCGTGTGCTGCTCAAACTTTGTCTTCACGGCCGACTTGGAAAGGCACTCCTACATAACACGCATTAAGTTACATACAAGCAACATACAAGTTACATACAAGCACGCATGTGCCTGCCTAGTGTTTACACGCATACCCCTAAACCTAAATCATACTTAAACCCCAACCTTAACTCACATTCTAACCTTAACCTGCACACTAACTCTAACTCCTGCCCTTAACTCACATTCTAACCTTAACCTGCACACTAACTCTAACTCCTGCCCTTAACTCTCTAACTCAAGAGTCCAACCCGACCCTGCCCGCACCCACACGCACCCCCACTCACGTCGAATCGTGTGTTCAAACTTCTTGAACTCGACCATGCGGTTGTGTGAATCCCTCGCGAGAGCTGCTTGCTGTGCGGCGGCAACCCCTGACGCTGCTTCATGCGCGAGAACAACACCTCCTTCGCCGAGACGAAGAAACACTCGCTCGCAGCGCCATCCTGCAGGGTGTTCACTACGAAGCTCGTCGACGAGGAAGGAGATTGCAGCGATCCATCGTCTTCGCGAACAGCTGCGAGAAATGTTGCAACTGTCAGTGTCGTTCGTTCTATCTCTTACAATGAAGATAACACAGGGACTCTGATTTGAACACATGGTATTCGACGGACTAGTCCAAAGTTCCCAGTGGAAAGAAACGACAATAGGAGGAGGAGAGAAATAAGTGTAGAGGAGGGGGAATAGGAGGAGAGAGGGAGGAGGATGAGGAAGAGGAGGAGGAATAGGAAGAGGAGCAGGCCAGAAAAAAAGTAGAAGAAAAAAAAGAGGAGGATGAGGAGAGGGGTAGAATCCCTAACCTTCTCCATCATTTCGGGTTCGGAGGCTGACGCGTCCCATCTGTTGTTGAGTATGGAAGATGTTTGGCTTAGAGAGACGCTCGCTGACCTTGTGAAAGAAATTCTTCTCCTACAGGAAACATAGAGCAGATATGAGTTACATTTAATAACGGGAGACGACACATGCCTCCACATAACTATGCTAGTAGAATCCTTTTCCATTATTCGTGAAAACTTCATTAAGAACAACCCCAGGGCATGAAATTAGACAAATTGAACAGCCCTTAACAAGTTTGAACAGGCCCTTAATTTTGTTCAATTTATTCCATTAATAATAAAAGCATTAGCTTTGTGTATATTAGGCATACTCATAGTATTTCAGTATTTCATTGCTACCAGTGGAGATTCTACTTGTTTTGACAGGATTGCTGGAACATGGTTTACTTTTTAGTAGTCACTAAGCAAAAACTAGTAGGAAATTGGTAAATATTGTTGATATAAAGGCAAGATAGGCAACAATTTGAATAGGCCAATATGGACTGAATATATGGGGGGTTGAAATGGGCGGCCCATGGCAAAATAGCGCTAATTTCCACGCACTGCAACCTGATGCGCTATGAACTACAGTGAATGTTGCATGCAGGAGCCATCGATGTGTCATGCTGACACGTTACCTAACTAGTGACACATCGTTAAGTCTCGCCACAAAACAACGTTTTGATGTCAAATGCCTCACAAGCAAAACAGACGTCATGCACAATTTCAATGATTGCCTTCAACGACCAAACACAACACTAGTCTGTGTTCAGGACAATAACCATATTTTCCAACACTTTCCAGAACTGTAAAACAGAATTTTTTAATATCCGGGGCTTTTTGTCAGAAAGCAAAATTAGTGCTAACATTAAATATTCTCGTAGACCTGACCTCTGTACACTGCATATGAGAAACTCATAACTTGACTACGTTTTTGTCACCGGTCTATAAGAAATTTACCGTCTACCTGTTGTACACCACTTACCCCCGCGTGTACGACTGCCTTACCGTCTGCATGAGTGTAGACTCGGCGTGGCCACCCCCCCAACCCCGCGTGTACGACTGCCTTACCGTCTGCATGAGGGTAGACTCAGCGTTGGCCACCCCCCACCCCGCGTGTACGACTGCCTTACCGTCTGCATGAGGGTAGACTCGGCGTTGGCCCACCAGCACAAACCGTCGGCATCGAGGCAGTGCTGGTCGATCCACGTATCCAGGTTCGGCGTCACGTCAATGCCGGGACTGATGACAAAAAACACAAGCACATTCACGACGTGATCGCCGCCACCGCCGCCATGCACGCGAGCGAGGTACACACGCTCGTGTGACTGCACGACTGCGCACTAGGCGTCCAACACTTAATTACTCTAATCACACAGTTAACCCAGTTCTAAACCCTGTGCTAGCAAACAGCTCTATAGAAAGAAAGGATACTTGTCTATAAAGTAAACTTTTGAGAATTTACTATTTGTCCCTCGGCAGGCAGTCATACAATGAAACACCCTCTGCAGAACAGCCACCTGTCTATAAAGGACACCTCTGCAGAACAGCCACCTGTCTATAAAGGACACCTCTATAGAACAGACACCTGTCTATAAAGGACACTTTTTCTTTTGTTTTTACTTTCAGTGACCCTAACATAGTTTTGTTTGTAACCTGATGCTTCTCACATACAGGTACAACTGTAACTTGATGTCCCTTACATACCTGTAGGTACAACTGTAACTTGATGTCCCTTAACACAGGTATGACTGTAATCTTGATGTCCCTTACACACAGGTACAACTGTAACTTCATGTCACTTACACACAGGTATGACTGTAACTTGATGTCCCTTACACACAGGTACAAACTGTAACTTCATGTCCCTTACACACAGGTACAACTGAAACTTCATGTCCCTTACATACAGGTACAACTGTAACTTGATGTCCCTTACACACAGGTTTGACTGTAGTCAGGCAGTGTTAACGAAGTGCTTACCTGTCTACCAGGATGACGTCTCCTTTAGGAGGCTGCAGTGTTCCTTCGGCCAGCACACTCTGACCAGTGTCCGCTGTCCGACGATAGTAGAGGCGTGGGCGAGATGGCCGACCGACTGAAAGATCACAGATACTTACATACTGACGTACTGCACACATACATACGGCACTCATAACACAGGGTGCGAAATTAAACGCAAGTCCGGAGTCAAATACTCCCTGATTTACTGTCGGACTCCCTGATTTGACATATGTAGGAGTCTGTGTGACTCCCTGAAAATTCTGCTATAACTAACACGTTCATTCCAGAGCAAGGCCTCACGGAATTACTGTATTTTTTTCAGCAAATGTCCAAAGAAAATTTGGCAGACGTGCATCGCACGAATCTTCAAAATACGCACATGCGTTATTGTTGTTGTGCTTTAGTTGCTGCGGTTG